ACTTGATATTCCAACCCCTAGATACTGAAAGTGATTCACTTGTTCGATCAGTTTTGAGTCCACTTCCAGTTTGCACCTTACCGCCTCCTTGGATGTTACCAGGCATTTTGTTTCAAGCAAAATCACTTTGACTTAAAGAACAACCTATTTGAAAGAATAAAAATTGTTTCTATTTAAACCTTTAAGATCGTCCAATTTTCTATTATAGCAAATCACGTCTTCTTTCTATTTTGGAGTAGAATTGGCATTTTCTATTAGTGAAACCAAATCCACAACTCCTGGAAAAGCTCAGATACGAATTTCCTTCTCGAAATAAAGCCGAAAAACTTGCTAAAATAAACGAGCCAATTGCCGCTACCGTTCTTATCCCCAATAAATTGATAGAAAAACGGTGTGTTGTTCAATTACCCGTTTATTCCGATGCAGGGTCGTTTGTCTCGAGTCGCTTTTGCCGCGGTCGAGGCTGCAGCCACGAATTTCAAATGGAATTAGTTGGAAATGCAGCTGCAAAAACACTTGGCGGTCTAGAATATATTAGGTGACTTGCGGTGCAGCCAGCTATTGTTAGTGGAAGCTTTTAAAGAAAATTTAGTTTATTGGCCTAGCTAAATAATTGTTTTTTCTTTAGAAAGAGTGCTGGTTTTAGATATTTTTATTTAGAATAATTACTCGCAAGGTAGATACACTCTTTTTCTTTGTTTGATAATTGGAGTTTTGTTTTGGTTTGGACACTTCAGTACCTTGCGTTTGCGGTGAGTCGTATACCGTGCTGGCAACTGAAATGGAATTATAAGGATATCATCAGTCAGTAATCGCAATAATTTTAAAACTCAACTTTTTAACACATAACACGCCCTAACTTAAGAACCACTTTAGATATTGATTTTTTTTTATTTTAAAGATCGGATCTTTTAGAATATGTTTAAATAAGCAAAATTCGATAAGGTTATGTTTTTTTTTCATTCAAAAATTTTAAACAACCCATCCATTTAGTTTTAGTACATAGCAATTTTCAGCAATCGTGTAAATTTTTTATTTGTAAAGAGTTTCAGGTACTGTCTGCGAAGAAAATATAGCAGAAATGTTACGAAAGTTTTTAAAAACAACTATAATAAATTATTTTTAATAGATTTCGAGATATCGATTTTTGAATTCAGAGTTCTAATAGCGCGACTACTGTCGAACACCAACTCAATTCCTCTTATTTTTACCAAAGATGCAAGTGTTTCTAACTTGCATTTAAATTTTTTTTAAGCTATAGGGAAAATTAAAACGACACGTTAACAAATAAACAAGTATCGCGAGACGTAGTTAAATCGTGAAGCTGAACGCATGATGTACACCTTTCCCTAGAACTTTAAGTACTGAGAGGTACTGATTGGGTCAACCGATCGACTGCGACAAAATCTGCTATATCCCCTTCCAGATCTCTTAGCAATGTGCACAGTTTCTCGGTTTATTTCATACGTTTGGCAACGTGTTTACTGTCCTCTCTTTGTTCGGTATTATAAACGAATTGTACTCTTCTTACATATGGAATCTCGACCCAAGACTAACCTTTGCCAGCCCTTAGTATTGAAGAGATAAAATATCCTCTACATGTACCATGACGAACACAAAAAAGGTTCGCAATGAGGTGAAACAATAAAGTCGGGTATTACAGATCAAGTGTGGTCCAAGCACCACAACATAAAATGGTCGGAAGCTCGGGTTGTTCACAAAGAACCCCATTGGAAAGAGCGCTAATTTAAAGAGGCTGTATTCATTTTTAACAATAGTAAACTCTTTAGCAATCCAAGTATGGAAATTTCAACAATATGGCAACCACTCATAAAACTCTCCAATGGAGGTGTTCTTAGTAAAGATATCCATGCTTGACTAAACCCAACTAATTCACGCTTGAATGCTTGGCTCAGTAGTTTTAGAATTTAGATTAGATCACACTTGATAACGGTCAGTGATATTTCTGACCAAAACGTTGTTTGAGCAAAATAAATAAAGACAATGGAGGTCCGAAATGATTTTAGTTTTAATACAAGCAAGAATGTTTCTCTCGCAATTCCATCACCATACCGGGCGCGTCTCAAAAGTGGCTCACCCCTATAACTTTTTTTTATTTTTTTCAGTTAAAAAAACGTTATGTTATTATATGACATAAATTAGGATTGATTGACGTATTCGTTTTTGGTCACTTCCTGTTTCACCGGAAATGACTACAACTTTTGGTTTTTAAATGGCACCGTTGGTATTTTTTTACATTATTCGATAGAAAATAACACTCTGAATAGAATGACATATCATATGTCAACTTTTGACATTTTCGCATATGGTTTATTTAAAATTATAACTTGCGGTTCGTAACGAAAATTTGACTCGAAATACCAAGTGTGTCGCATCAAATTATTCGTAAAAAAATGCTTTTTTCAAATATGGCAATGAGCCACCCTCGTTCCATTTGAAAAAAATGAAATATAATTAAAAATACGATTTCAGCATATTCTAACTAGCCAGGACAAGACACTAAAAGCATTAGACGATCAAATCTATTTTTCCAAGGCTTCTTGATTACGAATTAGTGTTTTTAACATAGCCATGGCACTTTAGATTGAATTTTAAAATAGATTTTTTATTAAGCGAGAATATCAAAAGTTGACATATGATAAGTCATTCTATTCAGAATGTCATTTTCTATCGAATAAAGTAAAAAAATACCGAGGGTGCCATTTAAAAATCAAAAGTTGCAGTCATTTCCGGTGAAACAGGAAGTGACCAAAAATAATTGAATACGTCAATCAATCCTAATTTATGTCATATACTAACACACCTAATCTCGTTTTGTTATCTGCAAAATTAAAAAAGTTATAGGGGTGAGCCACTTTTGAGACGCACCCGGTATAGAAAAGACACTGAACTTGCTATTAAATGATTATTGACTAAATCAAACTGTTCATCACATTGTAACTGAATGCCCTCTTACAGCATATGGAGGAGAAGCGAGTGATATCTTTGAAGCCACAGACACCGTGTTGAACTCGATCAATAGCCTAGATTTTAAAATTTAAGTGTACTTTTTGTAATATGTTTTGTGTATAACTTCTTAGATATCTAGTTTTATTTTTACAATTTGTGACAATCTGTTTACATGTTATATTGTGTTTGAATATATACATTTGATGTTGTAATTAAATCCATGTACGCCATACGCTAAATAAATAAATAAATTGACTAAATATTGATACTTATGCAAAAACAATACAAATTAACTATAAAAAATATATTGTGTCTTATGAAAAAACATTTCGATCTTTTATGCTTTTTACATTTTTTTTCGATTGTTGAAAAATGTTTCTTCAAAGCTGAAATCACTTTTAAGCAAACAAATGTAAAAGGAAATTGTGCCAAAAATAGATACTCCCCTTCAATTTAGCGACTTACTTATTACTCCATTCTCCCAGTTTTCGTAAAGTGGCCCCATAATGTCAATTGTTACACACGGAAGTTGCAAAGAAATTGAGAAAAAATATATATCCTCGCTTTTTCGGATTTTTTTTGTTTTATTTTTAGACGTTTGTATTGTTAAAATTTATACATTATTTTATTTATCTACCGTACGATAGAATGAGAATGTTGCGAGATATAAGAAATGTATATCTTTAATTTAAAATATGAGCATTAAACCTAAACAAAATGATTTAGTTTACCCACCCCCCACACACACTTGTTATTTCGAGTCAAATTGTCGTTTCGTCAAACAATCGCATGTTAGAATTTCAAATAAACCGTATGTAAAAATGTCCAAACTTGACATATGATATGTCATTCTATTCAGAGTGTCATTTTCTATCAAATAAAGTAAAAATATACCATTAGTGTCATTTAAACATCAAAAGTTGTAGTAATTTCCAGTGATTAATGTCACTAGTTTAAAAAATGAGCGATTCGAAAAGTATTCCCTCTGACATTGAAGAAGTGGCATTCAGAGCCATTTCTGGATTGCTTCCAGCAAGATCGAAACAAAAGTATGAATAGACTTTCATTCTTTCCCGCAATTTCGCAAAGCTCTGAAATCATACTTACTGGAGAGAGCCCTATATACGGTAAACGAGTTTTTTGTTGATGTTTAATCATGAACAATTTTGAATTTTACAATTTTGATCATCTCACATACTGGTTAAAGGTCTAGTATTTAATATTTAATATTTTATAACTCTTGGATTTTATAATATATAACATTAGTTTATCCATTTACAGTTTTCCTTTTGTAAAATTTTCTAGATACGCCTGTGTTCTGCAATGTCCATATATGTTTTATTTGTAATTTTATGACGTAAATTTTTTTTTGAATTGATTTGTATTGTATGACATTTTTATTTGTTTATTTGTATATTTGTTTTTGTGCTTTTTTGTTTTGCTTTGTCGATGAAGCTGTTTTGGCTTTTTGTACAATAAAGCGTTTGTTTGTTTGTTTGTTTGACATACTCTAAGTATGAAAAATGGTGCACCGAAAAAAAAGTACACGACTTTTGAAATGAAAAGGTACTCATAACATATTTTTCCAATTTATCCGCTACTTACAAGCCTTCGTCTCTTTGGGCTTTCTGTTAATGATACATACTATGATATCGATTAAAATGAATATATATGCATCATCAGGCATTTACTTGAAAGATTGTTCAAACTGTATCATTAACATTTATAATAAATAAGTTTTCATGTTTTTATAATTATTATCAATAGAACAGTTTATTTGTATTTAGTATGTATTTAGTGTTTAGTTTTTTCATTTTGGTATTCATCTAAACAAGGAGTGCGGTAATGAAAATGCGTGAGTTAAGAGCTTCTTAACTCACTGACGTAGATAAAATACAAAAACAAATAAGCATCAAAAACACCTTGATTGTGGTAATCCTATAATAATATATTACCTAGTTAATTAGAGACACAAAATAAACCACTTTGGAATAACCAACCATCATCCCCTAGACCCCTTGTCTACTTACGTGTTACTCCATTCTCCAGGTCTTCGTAATAGCCGCATAATGCCAATTGTTGCAGCAGCGAGTTGGGCAGGCGGCAGAATTGGTCGACGCGGCGCAAACGGGAGCAGATTAGCTCGACGTCTTTGACGTTACGGTCGCACGGCCTGCAACAACCAAGAAAAAGGGGATAAGTTGAGGAAGTTTTAATCGGGTTTTTATCGTCGATGAGATTTCTGGGGAATCGGTAGGGAACGATAATTTGATCCCGAAATCTAATCTAAATCTTTTTAAATATCTAAAACAAACAAGATCTTTTTAAGATATGATTATAAAATCTACACCCTACACTCAAAAAAACGCAACGGAGAAAATTTTGGTCAGATTTAAAGTATTATATTTTTTATTTTTAGTCCTATTTTCATTAATTTTAGTAGCAAGCTGTATACAGGGTGGTCCGAACTGTATTTCCGGAAACTTCGGCAGCATATTCTACAGATAAAAATAAGTAGAAAAGTTCGTATAAATGTATGTCCTAAAATGGTTAGTTTCGGAGATACAGGGTATTGTATTTTTTTGTATTTTACTAAGAGTGAGTCCTAGGTGGGACCCTCCACTGAGGCCGCGAGGGCCTATTGTGGCTCAGTTTCTACAAGCTTTTTTATAGAAAAAGAGCATTAAAGTTCGCCCTCAAAACCCAGCCTTTTAACATAGGCCGTTATGTCCGAGGGTGATATGTCTTCAAGGTCTGATAAGTCTAGCGTGGGTTTGTCAAACACCTCAAACCTGGTCCTGCCCCCAGCGGAGCAGGTACACATAACGTGCTTCATTGTTTCGTCATCTTCCATACAGAGTCGGCATTCGGCGTCTTCCACCAGTCCCATCCTCTGTAGGTGTGATCTCAGCCGGCAGTGGCCCGTGTATACTGCAGTAAGCGTACGCGCTCCGTTCCTACCAGCCTTTAGGACCCTTAGGAGTTCATCTGTTCTACGTTTGGATGGCCCTGCTAGGATTGTTTTGGCATGTTCCATTCCGGGACTGTCATACCAGTCCCGAAGCGTTACACCCCTAACCCATTCACAGAGCCTGTCTCTTGCGAGATTTTTTGGTACGCTAAGTGTCGGTTCTGGGCCCACGAATGGCGAGCCTGCACCACGAGATACAGGGTGCACAAGTTTTATTTTTATTTCGATTTTTTCCAAATAATTCGTAAAGTAACGTTAATATTTGGATGAAAATTGTTGTCTGTGAGTTTTTTGACATGAGAAATTTGATTTTGATGTCAATATGACCCCTATTTGTAGGGGGCGCTACCTACATGTGTTTTGACTGTTTTGAAGAGTAAAAACTTTTCGTCCGTATACCTGTATAAAACTACTGAGTGAAAAAATATACATTTCCCTAACTTTCTATGTAAAAAATGTCTCTTGGTAAAAAATCGCTAGGAGCAACCGTTCTCAAGATATTTAGAATGGAAATAGTCAATAAATATCATTTTTGCCAAAAAATAAACAAGTTGAGTAGATCGTTATTTGACTCAAATAATAAATTTGGGAAATTTTTATTTTTTTAAATTGATCATAAATTTTTCTGCGAAAAAATGATAAAACAGTTTCTGTTGAACTTTTGGCACAAAAACGTTTCAAATTTATGATTTCAGTCTAACAATTATTTAGTCAACATGTTTAATTTATGTCAATGATGATGGGTATTGATAATTTCCATTCCAAATATCGCGAGAACCATTACTGGTAGCGAATTTTACCAAGAGATCTTTTTTACGTAAAAAACGCCATAAATGTATAATTTTTTACTCAGCAGTTTTATACAGGTAAGGACAAAAAGTTATTACGCTTCAACCAGTTACAAAATTAGTTGGTGACGCTCTCTACAGGTAGTAGTCATATTGACATCAAATTCAAATTTCTCATGTCAAAAAACTCCCAGCTACCAATTTTCATCCAAACATTGAAGCTACTTCAGAAATTATTTGGAAAAAATTGAAATAAAATGAAACTTCTACACCCTATATCTCCAAAACTAAGCATTTTAGGACATACATTCATACGAACTTTTTTACTTATTTTTTTTTAAACCGAAGTTTGCGGATTATACAGGGTGGTCCGAACTACCAACCTGTATAATTATATCACCTTTTATTCGTAAACTCAGTTTTGTATAAACTTTAGTATTTGGCATATTATACAATCGAGGGGTTGTCTTTTTACCCTAAATTTAAAACACATTTTGCAATAATTTCGTGTGTAAATTTTTCTAAAATATAATTTTACGGCGAGACGATAAGTTACAAGGCGGCTTTGGTGAATATTATGAACTATATATTACTATGAACTGCCCATCATGTTCGACGTTTGACAAATGTTTGGCAGAAGGGTTAGAGGTCGCAAAGCAGTACCAGCTTAATTAAATCAACTTCGCTTGGTCCTTAAAGAAGAATGAGAAAGCATAAGGCAATATGATATATGAAGCCTGAATGGCAGTATAAACGGACGTATACAGGGTGGTGATAATAATTTCGATGCTCAACATTGGCATCTCAGAAAGTACGATAGATACGAAATCGGTTAAATGGGACAAAAGTTGCGTAATTAGAAGTTTGACAAACACCTATGACGAAAACCCCGGTATCTTAATTAGTTTCGGATTTATGCCAAAAAATGAAAATAATGTGTTTATTTTAAATAAGAATATCTCCAGAACTATTGCATCTATTGCAACGTAAGTTGGTAATTTTATATTTTTGACCCCGGCCAAATAATGCCGTTTTCAGAAAATTTCTAAGCCTTCCAGATTTCGCACAACAACAGTCAAGTTTTTGTTTTCTTATGGCCACCATTTTGAATATTTATAGCAAAAAAAATAATCTATATGGTGGTATCTAATTTTTATTCATTATTATGTAAATTCACCCAAAAAAATTAGATTTTTTAAAAATTCGCTCAAAAGATCAAGTCTGCCTTGGAAATCCAATTGTCACTTTATATGACAGCAAGTTAATTTTGATTTACTCTATTAAGTATCAGATCTGGACACAAAAAATTATAGTTGATAGTGTAAAGTGTATTAACAGTCAATAATATGTTCACAAGCGAGGAAACACGAGATATGTATGATGTTTACTTAAAAAATAATAGAAATTCCGATATGGCATGCGCAAGTTATAGAACATTGTATCCTGAAAGGACACAGCCTCATCGTACTATTTTCGCAAAGATTTCAAGAAATTTAGCAGTTGCTGGTAGCTTTAAAAAAACAAGAGGGCCACTATTTTAAAAAGCTTATGATATTAATGTACCAGCTTAGATTGAAATAAATCGGGAAAGTTCTAGTCGTAAAATAAGTCGCAAGTGTTGTGTAAGTGATTCTTATGTAGGGAAAATTATCAAAAAACATAACCAGTCACCAAAACCATCTCGTCATATTAAAAAATTTCATCAAAAAGAAAATAAGAAAATTGATCGTTATCAGTCCATTTCGCTCTTAAAATTCATTCAAAGCGTGTATTGTCATGACTCAAAAACAAAATGCTCGGGAGTCATGGTTCTGACCGTTAAATTATATTTTAGGAAAATTTACAGAAGAAATTATTGAACAGTGTGTCTTAAAGTTAGGTTAAAAAAACTCTCGATAACCCTGCATAATATGCCAAATACCAAAGTTTATAAAAAGCTGAGTTTACGAATTAAAATTGATATAATTATATACAGCTTGCTAAAAAAATCATGAAAATAGGGCTAAAAATAACAAAAATATAACCCTTTAAATTTGACTAAAAATTTCTCCGTTGCGTTTTTTTTTGCATCTGGGTGTATTTCTAGCAATATAAATGATTCTGTTTTTTCTAGTGTAGAGCCCAAAACCGTGGAAAAACGCATTTGCAAGAAGACATTATAGGCATAATATCATCAATCGGTTCAAATATACAGGGTGGTCTGAATTGTATTCGGGAAACTTATATACCATATTCTTAATTTTTTAAAAAATGTCTCTGGATGAAAATCGCTACGAGCATATCAGCTTTCAAGATATTTAGAATGGAAATAGTCGATACATATCATTACTGATAAAAAATAAGCATGTGGACTAAAGAGATATTTGACTGAAATAATAAATTTGGGAGTTTTTTAAGCTAATCATAAATTTTCGTATAAAAAATACGATAAAACAGTTTCTGTTTAATCGCATTCACAACAATCTTTAAATTTCTTGAATTCTTTGAATCTCCGTTAATTCTATAAAATTGTGTTTCATAATTTTATTGATTTCGGATTTTCCTTCCTATTCCTGACAAGCTGCAATAAAGATAAGATCTAAAGGTACATTCAGGCTGAGAGCGACGAGCGCCAGCGTTTGCGTCGCCTCGGCGTGTCGAAATGGAATCAATTCACTTAACTTAAATTAGACCGTTCAGGCAGACAGCGAGTTTGGCGTTGCGCTAGCGTCCGCTGAGCGTCGGGGTTCGAGTTCAATGGAACGGACGCGACGCTCTCAGCCTGAATATACCTTAATTCATCATTATTCACTTTTATCTCTCCATTAATTACATGATATATTTGATTGAATATTTTTTTTTATTTTTCCTAATTTCCCAACACTTCCGCAAGAAAACGTGAGAAAGAAAAATACAAAAACCATTTATATAATATATTTCTCTTACGTTTCTTTTTCTCAAAGTTTAAATTATATTTTTGGGAAGATTAAAATCTGCTTCTCTTTTTTAAAATATCTCGAGTTTCGAAAAATTGCGATGACGAAAAAGGAACTTTACTAAATTGATTTAATTTCCTGTTCTCCTTTATTTTCTTTCTTTTTAATTTACATGTTGATATAAGACTTTAATTTCTGAAGTTTTGTAGGGTAACAGAAGAAAAAAAGTTTTTTTGAATAAAGTTCTAAAACGATTTCCTTTAAATATGAGGATATAAATATATGATCAATGTAAACGTCTTCTCTGTGTAGTGTTATTATGATGTACCTAATATCTTTTGAGGTATACTCGACTTGAAAATTGAATATTTATAATTCAAAAAATAAAATATATTTTTTTAAAATACAGAAATACTAAATTAGTGTTAGTAAAATAGTAATAAATATTTTTTTAGCTTTTTGATTTAGTGGCTAGACACTGTAATAAACCTACATAGGC